ACCACTGAAATTACAAAAAAAAAAAAAAAACCTAATAAGAAAGTGTTTCCACCCGAGAATGACCTTTAACTTCAATGCAGCCGGTCGAAAAAACAGATGAAATAGTAGTGAAATCTACACTTTCTGCAGTAGATACACATTTGCCTGTGCCTGATGATTCCAGATTATGCCCAAGTCCATTACTGCCATCCCAAGTTCAAGCCTTAATAGAAAATGGTCCTGGATAACCTGGTTTTGAATTTCAGTTTCCCAAAAGAGAAAAATAGACGTAAATTTTTTTAGATGTACTTCTGTCGAATCTTGCCAAACAATGAAAGAGTTAAAAGGGATTAGCTGCTAAATTCTGTTTATTGTTTTTGCTGCAAAATTTTTAACACTTTCAACAATGTAAAACTGAGTAGTTCTGAATTTAATGACTGGAACCACTTAAATGACCACTTAAAACTTCATGAAAAAAAGTAAAATGGGCTGATCTTTGGAATATGGTAACAGGTAGTTTGGCGACATTTTGGAGGCGATAAAGGTTACTACCTAGGACTTTGGTAATAATGTGAGCAGTACTCAGTTCCGATTACGCATTATTTTGTGTGAGGGAAATCAGAGATCATGAGATATGTCATGTGATATTAATGGACGAATTACAGTTTTTTAATCGGAAAAGGGGGGAAATTTAGAAAAATATCTGTGGCAGTATGTTATTTTGTATTAAGCTTCATTGTGTGTTGTGTGAAGTAGTGTTGATTAATTTTCGGATAGTATGGCGCTGTCTAAAGTGAATTCTAGATTTTTAATGCGTTTATCTGATAATTCAAAGAATTGGTTGAATGGTGCAGGAGTGTAGGTTTAATTGCGGATAAGTATGAACGTCCAAAACATGGGAAGGAAATGAGATTGTGTGAAAGGAAGGATATTACTGATAAGTTTGAATGGCGGTGCAAGAAATCTGGTGAAAATGGACATTTTGTGAAACAGAGTGTAAGGAAGGGTACGTGGTTTGCTGAAAGTCGCTTGAGTATGGGTGAAATTTTATTCATTTCTTATTATTGGGTGAATAGATTGCCAGTTGACTACTGGATTTCGGATTTAGAAATTAGCAGTAGTACTGCAGCTCATTGGAATTCTTTTTGTAGGGAAGTGGCATGGAATTTTGCGAAAAAAATGATATGGTATGCTCGGTGGTATGAATGTTATTGTGGAAATGATGAAAAGTAGGTTTGGGAAGCAGAAGTATCAGAGAGGTAGGAGAGTGGAAGGAAAATGGGTGTTTGGTGGGATTGAAAGGGGTAGTAATAAGTGTTTTTTTAAGGTTGTGCGAGATAGAAGTCAAGATTGTTTATTACGTTTTATTAAAGAATATATTCTACCGGGTACTATAATTATTTCTGATTGCTGAAAATCGTACGAATGTTTGGAGGATGAAGGTTTTAAACATCTTGCTGTGAACCATAAATATTATTTTAAAGATCTTGAAACAGGTGCACATACCAATACAATAGAGGGCATGTGAAGTGCTATAAAAAGCGCCATTCCGAGGCATTGTGATAAAGAGAATTTTGCCTTTTATTTAGCGGAGGAAGTGTGGAGGAAAAACTCGCAGAAAAAATCTTTCAATAATTTTATTGAATCAATTATAAAAGTGTATCCACTACGTAAGGAAGATTCTGAAGAAGATTAGGTAAGTTAGTATTTTTAATTATTTGAGGATATTATTTTTATGCATTGTTCTAAATGTAAGGAGGAAATAAAGGAATTTGGTATTATTGGAAAATTGTTATTAGCAATGATTTAGTTTAAAGTAATTAGGATTGTAAGCTAATTTTTATTAATTTAATGTGCTCATTTATATTTTAAGTAGTGTTTTTGAATTTAATTATATTTTTAATTAAATGATAGTTATTTTGTGAATTTATGTTTGTAGGAATTTGGTATATACGTTTAGTTGAAGTAAACGTGCATGGAAATAATTTAAATATTGACACTAAGTATTTGTAACCATTTGTAATGTTTGCGGTTGTAATGTTTGCAGTTAATTAGTTGGTGACGTTTGTAATATAATAGATAATGTAGAGGTAAAAGTTTTTGGATATTTTATTTATTTTATTCGTGGAAATGTTCATATTTGGAAAGGGTATATACTTTTTGGCGATCAGGTAATTTGATATATGTTCTTTTTACCGGGTTTAAAGATTCAGAAAATTGTCTTGCATTTTCGTGAAATTTTTCTAATTTATGAGAAAAAAAGCAGTGTACATGGATATAGTGAAGAGTGTGCGCAATGCCATTTTTGTGCAATTCTGGGGCTGTTTTTTTAAGTAAAAATAGTCGACGTGTACATGGTTTAGTGATATTTTAATCAAATGATAGTTATTTTGTGAATTTTATGTTTGTAGGAATTTGGTATACGTTTCAGTTGAAGTAAACGTGCATGGAAATAATTTAAATATTTGACACTAAGTATTTGTAATGTTTGCGGTATGAATTCGTTGGTGACGTTTATAATATAATAGATGATTTAGAGGTAAAAGTTTTTGGGATATTTTATTTATTTTATTCGTGGATGGAAATGTTTCATATTTGGAAAGGGTATATACTTTTTCGCGATCAGGTAATTTCATATATGTTTTTTTTACTGGGTTTAAAGATTCAGAAAATTATCGTGCATTTTCATGAAATTTTTCTAATTTATTAGAAAAAAGCAGTGTACATGGATATAGTGAAGAGTGTGCGCAATGCCTTTTTTGTGCAATTCTGGGATTTTTTTTAAGTAAAAATAAGTCGACGTGTACATGGTTTATGTGTATGTGTTATTCTTGAAAAATGTGTAAGGAGTTGGTATTGTGCACTTTTTCCCAATTTTGCAGTGAATATTTGTCATGATTAAGCAGTTTTGTTACATAAAATTTCTAGCATAAGTGTAATTCGGCTAGTAGATTGTTGGAAAAAGTATTCAGTAAATAAAAAGAAAAGAAACATGTCTTTACTTCGTGAAAACAAAATGGCGGCAAAAAAAAAAAAAAAAAATAGAGGGTTGCTGTAGCAGAGTTGGTCACCAAATTTTCGCCCAAAAAATCGCCAAGTTACCATAATCCAAAGATCAACCGTAAAATGCATTTCTGAAATCTACATCTTTGGTCCGATTTCTTAGAACGATTACGAAAGAATAAACCTGTTCATTTGGAATTTCAAAATTTATTAAGAGACTAAGTATTGGTACAGTGTTATTGAAAGAATTATCTACACCATTCAGTTTTTAGCCAAACAAATCTTAGCTTTCCGTGGTTCCGGTAACAAGTTATTCAAAAGAATTAATAATTTTTAAAATGTATAGAAATGATCACAAAATTTGACACTATATTGTATATTAATAAAATTCAATCTAAAAAAAAATATGCTTCATTACCTTGAAGATAAAATCCAAAATGAAACAATTAGCTGAGTAGGAAATAATATAAAGCAAATTATTTTAAGTAATGTCAAACAGGCAAAGTATTTTTCTATTTTACTTGACTGTACCCCATCAAGAGCAGTTATTAATTTGTATGAGGTATCTTAACTTAGAAAATACAGACATGAGTTTGGAAGAAAGGTTTTTATTATTTTGCGTTTCAACAGATATGACAGGTGAAAGACAAACAACATTCTTATTAAAGACTTTAGAGGAAAATGGTTTAGATATTAGCAATTTATACGGCCAAGAATAAGAAAATGGTTCAAACATGAGAGGTAAACAGTTTCTGAATAATTATGCTCAAACTGTTGATTTTCTGAATTAAAAAGTTAACCTAAGTTTAACATAATATGCAACTGCACTTACTTTTTTTTTTATGTAGAAAAACAATAACAAGCAATCACAAAAAATATAAATATTGCACAAATTACTATGTTTGCAACAGTAGACACAAAATAAGGATTAAGCAATTTGTCGAATGCATGTACCCTTACATACACATTGGCATCACGTATTTTCACGTTCACATAAGACAGAAGAGAACACCAGAGACAAACTCCTGCCCTGGTTATAACTTTCGGTCAAATAAGACAGTGTGCTAGGAGGAAGGGGCATTCAGATCTGGTAAGCTTGAGGCTGCCTTAACACAGTTAAACGCCCCAACCCCTAGAGGCGATCCAAGAGGCCGCTTACCTGACAGTCGAGCAGACGAGCTAAGGCTAAGCTGAGTCGACAGGAATACTTAGCAACTCACATTCCATGACTCCGTTCTGGAGGGACGGTAAAAACATCTGCCATCAACAGAGACCCCAATGCCGGACAGCAGAATGAAGTCACTTAAACACTGTCAGACAGACCAATCCAGCCTACTAACACTATGTCAACATATGCAGATGACGGCTTTAGGCACCTCCAGGGAGAAATCATGGAAGAATATGAATATGCGGTATTGAGGCTCCAGGCACCCACTGGAAACCTCAAGCAGTTTAAAGGCTCGCAGAATTCGCTAACTCCACTGACAGGGGTGTTTCGCCCCAGATAACCATGAATATCTGACTATATAGCTCAACCACAACCAGACGAGAACACCATATGGTCTCTGCCAAGCTTGAAACAGCCATCACTAGCAATGACTCCAGTCCTGTGGAGACTGATTTTAACACCCATGGCCGAGACTGCCTAGGTACAGATCCCAATCAGTAACTTCCCAGGTTTTACTCAAGTCGATCCCCGGAGGAGCGTTCAAATAAGACAAGAACTTTCCTGTTCAGACAGGCAGTGAGATGAACTGCTTGTTTTAATGATTGCACAGTTCCTTTTTGACCCGGGGCCGTCGTGCGCCGCATGACCATGCACCTATTATTGGCGCGGGCCTGAACATATGAAATAATAAAGAGACTTTAAAATATAAATATGCATTTAGTATTAATAATTTAAATTTCAGAATATTCCTTAAAATTCATGAAAATCATCACAGAAACTTGCACTATGATAAAATTTACATTAATTATAAGAAATGTAATATGTAATTTAAAATTATATTAATGCATACCTAAAAGGATATCCTTTTGCAAAACTGTAAGAAGCAGCAGAAGTTACAGCAATAAGCTCTAGTAAAACCCCAAGAAAACTGATACCCTCGGCACTCTTTGCATTCCAGATTTTTAGAATTTGTGGAAATTTTACTGAAAGAAAACAGTTTCAAAATACAGTAATAAAAATTGCCATTGCCACACATTTGGCTCTGATTTATGCATACAGAACTAAGAAACTCACCATAAACATATTTTAATTTTAATAAATAAAACAACTTAGATACCTAATGTAGAGCCAAGAATTATGCCAGTTCCTAAAGCCTTGCTGATAGTCTGTTTCAGACAATCCGCTAAAAGAACGAAAAATAAGTTATACATTGCATAAGTTATACAATACTAATGCGATTGTACAAAGTTGAATATTTAATCCTCCTTTTGCTTTTTCAAGAGTCACTTTTCTCTTCAAATTAGTAAAATAAAGTAACTTATACTTAAATCCTAAAGCATTTCTCAAATAAATACCCAAAATAAAAATTCGAAAGTATATATAAACTTTGTAAGTATACAACATTCCTATATACACATTCGAAAGTGGGTTACCAGTATGCACACACATGAAAAAAAAAAAGAAGTTTCAAATTTATAAATTTTAAAATTGGGTTTTCTTAGTGAACGTGCATAAACAAAACGGTATTAAACGCAGATTGGGAAAAAATTACGATTTAGTAACATGTCTTCTTAATTCACAAGTTAAACAACTTTCAAAACTAATAAATTAATGGTATGCTTTACCGTCTAAAATATTAAACTTGACGAAAAATTCGTTGAAACACTTATCCGAAATAAATAAAGAGATAAACTGCCGCAAATATTCTCCCATTTTTTCGTTAAAATGTAAACTGTGTCACAGAGGGGCATTTAAACAGCGAGACTCACTAATCGAAAACGACCTATGCCCTGCATGCAAACTATCACAAGTTTACAGATGCAGACGCACTTTCGACTTGACATGTAAGCAAGCAATTTAAGTGAAATGGCTGAGAACCTAGCGGTAATTCATTAAAAACATAATTCATTAGTACAAATACTAGAAAAAAAATTGAAAATATATTTTCTAAAGGAAGAAAATCTTTAATGAGTCACGAAATGAAAATTCTTAATTAATGAGTCACGAAATGAAGTTTAATAACTATTTACTTATCTGGCTCTTTATATCTGAGCAAAAAGACTTAGTAACTGCAAAACAAAACCAGCCGTAAGTCTAGAAAAATAAAAGCACTTGTGAACCAAGGAGGTTAGAATAGAAGGAGGGAGGGTTCGCAGTTTCCTCCACTATCGGGGAATGAAACTCCGCCGAACAAGCGGCGTCCATGTTTGTGACTTCAAAACATTGCATTACGCAAGTGAATTACGGTTCTAAGCTGTCCGTGCATTTTTTCCAGAAAAATATGGTAATTTAGAATGAAACCCTCGCTATGTGAATTTGTGTTTAAGTAATAAAGATGTTCCATAATTTACATGTACAGAAAAACTAAGAAATAGTTGAAATTAAAGCATGCGCATAAATAAAGCCTTTAAAAATGATGTTTCTGCATATTTCACGGATTGCTTAGGTAGAAATAATCTTAATAAAATAAAACAGATTTATTGAATTCATTGATTTTTATGCGCATTCATATTTATTAATCTCAAAGAAACTGCCTTTGATAGTTGAATTACAGAAATACACCTATATAAGTTTTTGGATACATCTTTCCACATGTTAATTGTGTAAAATTTACTTAATTTTATCACTACTGCCCAGAAATTGTAAGTTATGCAAAAAATGTTTAAAACAGAACAGTTTATCTAACTAAAAAAAAATGAATAATAATTAATATATAAAGAAAAGCATTGCTTCCTTTACAATTAATAAAAATAGTAACAATTGATTTCTTACTTTCATGAAAGTTATAAAACGAATTAACTAAAAAATTCAAATTTACAATTTAAATCCTACCATTAGCATTGTATCTTAAGAACGAAGATACAGCTATAAACAGAAACATTAAAATGTATTTAATATAATTGATTATAGTTATTAAATAACCTATTTAAGTCCTTTTTTTTCACATCTGGAAAGAAAACCACATGACATTGTGATATTTTTTGACATAGTTGTCATATACATAAAAAAGAAAATTAATAACTTACGTGTGAAAAATAATGCCCGGAATTTTTTTCGGAATCTATTTGCATCCATATGCAATACAAGCTGACATGCTTCAAAAAGAAAAGAAAAAAATGTTGCAATGACAGCCTTCCTTGCACAAGTCAAGGTGATAACAGGAAGATGGCCGCCAAGCTTCACCGTTTGAGTTGAACCTTCCCTCCTTCTATTCTAACCTCCTTGTTGTGAACCTTGGTCAAAAAAAGTCTATTCTTTGCCTTGGTCACGGAGAACCTTGGTCTTTATACTCCGTAACCTTGGTATATATTCCGTTAGGTTTCATTATGCTGATACGTAAACATGTTGCATGTTTGAATCGATTGTTTTCATTTCGTGTTGCTGATGTAAGTATCAAAGCTGAAGCATTTCTTAACGTCTGCTTGTAATTAATACTTATCTTGAAGTAATCTGTTTTTCTTGTCACTTGCAATTCAGAAATGTGATCACAGTTTTTGTTCATATACATCGACAAAAGAGCTGTATAAATTTATTCTATAAACTAATATATGAATTGTTTAGCATTAGTTAATAAATATTTATTTAAAGATTTAAAAAAGGTGTTGTTTGCCTTCTTAATTAATTTAATCTGTTTGTGTAATTTAATTAGCTAGTGCGATTTTCAAATTTCTTTTAAAATTATAAATTTACTCGATTTAAACTAATTTAACATGTAAAACTAAAACTGCTTTCTACAGAGTCATTATTTACTAAATGAAAGTGATAGTGCATATTAAAAATTAGAATATAATAAGAAAACAAATACTTTATAGCTGCTTGAATAAAATATAAGTTTCCATTGTAAATCTTAATATCACACTTGATTATGACTGAACGTAGTTGAAATTAATAATATGTACTCAATATCGGAATTTGCTACTGTAAAAAATGATATTACTGTGTTTGTGATTTTCATGTAATTCTGTATCTTTAAAGTCAGTTTGCAGAATTTATGTATGTAACTCGAACAAAACTCAGATATTAATCTTATAGAGATGGCTCGCTCGATTTCTAAAACTTAAATATTTGTAGACAAAATATCATGATGATTATGCAGCATTGAAAAGGATATAAAGTCTATGTTTCTGGTTTCCCAGTAGTGTATTGACAGTTGTGGCTAATGTTATTTGGTATGAAATGGCAGTGATTGATAGGTATATAATATGGTACTATTCCGTTTTGAGGACTGTAAATAATCGCCAAACTATTTTTGATGCCAGTGCTGCCAAAAATAATTGCGGCTACCCTAACACAAGAAAGAAAGTATAATGGTAAATGACTATGTAAGATTATTGTTTTTACTTTAGATGAAAGGTTAATTTCATATAATACTTTTTTATTATTATAATTTATGTAAAAAAGGCTAAACCTAAATGGAAGCATAAGAGTAAATAACTATTTCAGATCATTATTATAATTTATATATAAAAAAAAGGCTAAACATAACTGAATGGATTCCTGCATTGCTATTTCGCTACCAAGTAATCGCTGAAGCTAATTTAATCTCGTTGGTTGTTCAAACATAATTGTCTTTAATAAATGATGCCTATTCTTTGAAAAAAATTCTATTGCAGACATTTCTTCACTGGGCAATTCCCAAATTGTTAAATCCATAGCATTATCTAAAAAGGATTTAAAAATTAAACATCTTAAGCATCTTAAGAAATGTAGAACTATCTAAACTTACGCAATTTGAAATCAGTGCATGCGGTTAAATGGCCGCGTTTGCTAGATTTGGTGCATACATTTTGGCTGCAATTTTTTTACGATCCTCAAAATGGAATAGTACCTATAATATTTTATCACCGGTAACAGCGTAATTCAGCATTGGGACCACATGAGGTAATATTTCTAAAAGAGACTTGTTCTCTTCTGGAATATAAAAGAGGAAGGTACCCATTGCTGAACTCTATGCATGAAGTCCTCCGAAGCCTGTGTGGATTCATAGATGCTGTCACTGGATATAAGATAATTAGGAACATGTAACCAGATCCAACAAGTCAAAATTTCATTTCCTTTGAGAACATAAATAATCACAAACAGTGTAAAGGTAGTGAACTTCACGCACCAAAATGACAAAGCAGACAATAGCTTTAATATAATATACTAGTTTCCTGAAATTAAGGAGAACTCCTAAAAATAGCAATAACTTGTTTAGAAATAAGCTAACCTGTATAAAATTTGAATATGCTGTCAAATAACACTTGCTGAGTAAAACTGCTGTGCAGAATCACCCACTTATTTGGCACGCTTTGTTTCCCGCTTTTTACAAGAGTAAGAAGAATGGGATTTTTGTCAATTTCCTTTGACTTCTTAAGTGAAAATGGATCAATATGTACATGGACAAAGTCAAGGGAGTGCGCAACACGGAGTTTGTGCAATTCTTAAAAACGCGCCAAGCAGTGGGGGATTTTGCACTTTCCCCAACTGCTGTATGTAAATTAGTGGTGCTGCAGTTGGAATATGTCATTAGCGAGGAGCCAATTGCATATTTGAGAGCAAGCTTGCAGATTTCACTGTGATACTGAGATGAAGTCAAAAGTCGTTAATCCGGACTCGTCGGGACTTCAGCGATTCCGGATTATCGATTTTTCCGTATTATAGATCATCAGTTTAAATCTGGTAAGATGGCATGCAGAAATTATAAAATTAAAAATATGAAACCGTAATTTATGAAATAAAGAACAATTATGATCTAAAGGGTATCAAAATTTACCAAAAGAAAAGCTTAATATTTATTTAACATTTCTGTTATTAAACATTTTGGTTGATCTTTGGATTATGGTAACTTGGCGTTTTTTTGGCGAAAATTTGGCGACTGACTCTGCTACAGAAACCCTCTTTTTTTTTTTTCGCCGCCATTTTGTCTTCACGAAGTAAAGACATGTTTTTTTTCTTTTTATTTACTCAACACTTTTTCCAACAATCCACTAGCCGAATTACACTTATGCTAGAAATTTTATGTAACAAAACTGCTTAATCATGACAAATATTAACTACAAAATTGGGAAAAAGTGCACAATCGCAAACACCTTGCGCGTTTTTCAGAATAGCACATACACATAAACCATTTACACGTCGTCTTATTTTTACTTAAAAAAAAATCCCACAATTGCACAAAAATGGCATTGCACACACTCTTAACTTTATCCATCTACACTGCTATTTTCTCATAAATTACAAAAATTTCCACGAAAATGCAAAAAAATTCTGTGAATCTTTAAACTAGGTAAAAAGCACATATATGAAATTACCTGATCGCGAAAAAGTATATACCCTTTCCAAGGATGAACATTTCTACATATAAAATAATTAAAATATCCAAAAACTTTTACCTCTAAATTATCTATTATATTATAAACGTCACCAACGAATTCATACCGCAAACATTACAAATGGTTACAAATACTTATTGTCAAATATTTAAATTATTTCCATTCACGTTTACTTCAACTGAAACGTATACCAAATTCCTATAAACATAAAATTCACAAAATAACTATCATTTAATTAAAATATCACTAAACCATGTACACGTCGACTTATTTTTACTTAAAAAACATCCCAGAATTGCACAAAAATGGCATTATGCACACTCTTCACTATATCCATGTAGATTGCTTTTTTCTCATAAATTAGAAAAATTTCACGAAAATGCATGAAAATTTTGTGAATCTTTAAATCCGGTAAAAAGAACATATATGAAATTACCTGATCGCAAAAAGTATATACCCTTTCCAAAGATGAACATTTCCACGTATAAAATAAATAAAATATCCAA